AATACGATGCTGAGCATGGAAATTTTGTCCTCCATGCAGCAGGTGTTCTTCCACTCATCGCTCACAGACATTTGGACGTTGCATTCCACACTCGTACATCAATAAGAGTAATGCAAAATCGCCAAATGAGTAAAATAAACCTACCAATAGGTTTGTGCATTCATGGCAAGTCTTTTCCATCACCTTGGCCTTCAGCTGAAACACTCTTGACGGCAGGTTCACATCACCTGACCTACAGCCAGATTTTTCCGTGATGGTATGTTCACGTCACCCGCCACATATTTTTTCTTGCCATGATGGTCATGTCACATGGATCCAAGGGGTTAACAGATGGTGGCTCAGTTTCTGTATCAATATTCAATCAGAATATCACATATTTATTCATTAGGCAGGATAGCATTTCTTACATTTACTTTGTAAACCAGATCAGCGTAAATGTTGTTTCCCCTAAGTAGGTTCACTTTTAACTTCTTGGTAAACTGTATTATTGGAGAAGGTGAAAGATATTAAGTTTATCAGAAAATTAATTTCTATTGTGTACTGTATTTTTTTTGTATTCACATCTGAAACACTCTCACTTCCTTTTCTTTAGCTGAGTGAGAATGGAACTGTGGGTGAGGTGCTGTTCAGTGGTGACTACATCCATAGTGAGAGAGCTGGAGATGATCACCATGCTTCTGCAGATGATTCAATGTGTTTACAGGTTTGTAGAAAATAGTCATCACCTTTAACCTGTTGGATGCAGTTGCCTCACTGCATGCATGTGGCTCAAAGTTCAGGTATGAGGCTTGCTCGAGTGGATTGTGGCGCACAAACACTTACGTTGCCTCCCCTTTCCAATGTTATTTATTTTTCTTCATAACTTGTATTGCTTTTTTACCATTTTCCAAGGTCTATATTATTCATTGCATATGCTATTTCAAGATGGAAGTACTATGTTTTCTCCTTGCAAAGACTCCATATCAATTCTGTAGTTAGTCTTCAATTCTGTGTAATAACAATAACAATAAATAACAATCTGTTATTTCTATCATATTTTAATGTTTACATATTATTCAGTTTCATGTAACATTGCGCCACTAGTCATGGCTGGCAGGAATAGGATCCCCAGTATGGGTATATTGTCCTCCCTGGGGCTCACATTCTTTCAGGACTGGTACATTCCACCCTTGTTAACCAAGTTCCCCCTTCCTAGATGCCCAAAGGGTCAAATTTTCCTCTAAGAACTGTGTGCACTTATTGTAAGGCATTCTTTTCACTCTGGCATTCAGGCAAATTTTTCATGATAGTATAGTCCTGTCACCTCAATGCTCAGATATATTTTTCCATGAAGGCATATTTCTGTCACTGTACCCTCAGCTAAATTTTTTTCTCAACATAACAGTCACATCACTCGATCCAGTGAGTTAAAAGCCGATTGCCATTTAATAGTCATTATGCAATTTGTATAGCTACTGTGATCTATAATCACATTAGAGGACATTCAGGTTTTGACTCTAATTAGCACGTTAATAGATTTATTAAATCTCCACAAGTAAAATTTGAAATTACACTGTCATGTGATACAATTTTGTGAGATTTTAAAAACAACAAAACTCTCTGATTGATTACACATAATCATTAATTCTTCAACAGGAAGGGCAAGATTATTCTGCATCGAAAAAGAGGCGGAAAGTGATATACAAGTTAGCAAGATATGGGTGAGTAACATTCTTCAAAAGAAAATGAGTAAAGCTGTATTTTTTATTTCCTAATGCTAAAGGTATTATAGATTGACAAAACAAGTTACTTTGTTGATATGATAATGAAAAAATGCCTCTCAATATTTCATTAAAATTCTTTCATCATGTTTAATAGATTTTCTGATATAAATTATTTAATGTGTATATGAATTAGCATTAATGAGAATTAATCAACCATCAACAGGCCAGAAGATCTTCAAAGAGCAATAGAAGATGTGCGTTCAGGCATGGGAACACTGCGTGAGATTGCTGAGCGATATGGCGTTCCACATTCCACTCTCTCTGTAAATGCACGGATGGCAGGAATTTCAGTTCAGCAACGAAACCTGGATTATGATAATGAGACGCTAGAAGCAGCCAAGCAGGCAGTAAAAGGTAATATTCACTTTCATTTGTTTTTCATATGGAAAAATTGTTGTAAATTCTGTGATGTGTACTTAGTCGTTTTTTTTCTTCTTTCTTTCATACTTTCTTTCTTTCCATGTTCTTCATATTTTTTTATCACAATATAAGTAGTTCAGAGATTGGAATTAGAAGTACTGTATGCTGCACTTTTTGTTTCATCATAACAGATGCTATATTTATCTTTTTTAATGTAAAAGAAATGATAAATTCTTAACCTCTTACTGCCGGGCCACGCCTATAACAGTCATAATAAACTGACGCATCATAACAGATATGGCTATAGGCATCACAACACACTAGAGTGAGTCAGGCAGGAAGTTCCACTACATGTAGCCAGAAGTTACCAGAATCAGTGATGCCAAGAGGTTTCTGATATTGTCATTTTGGGGTTAATTTTTGAGAATTTCATTGAAGACGCAAACATTTTATATTAATCTTTGCAGTATTGAAAGTCATAGAATATATCCTTTTATTACACTCAGGATCAATGGATTAATCTTATTTTCTCCCTTTCCCTCCTTGTAGTACATTTATTTTTCACCAATTAACCATTGCCGCCACAGAAAATGAATGAAAAATAGGAAAATGCTGTGCTCATTTTTTATAATTTTGTGAAATGTATCTGCACATGCTGGCTCTGCATTTAGATGAAAGACTCCATAAAGGAGTCAATTAATAGATCTTGAGACCTTACCTGATTTCACCTTTCCTTGAATTGTTGGGAAAAACATTTTTTACTGGTGCTATAAATATCAATGGTGTTATTTTTGTTGTAAATTTGTAACAGCAAAATAAGATAACGTAAAATATTTTTATAAATCAATGAAAAGGGTGAACGGGCAAGACAGGCAGTACTCATAACTGGCTCACTGGTGACTTAGTACAAGTGTAGTAAAAATAATTTAACAATTAAACTCACAGTGGGCATGGCATGTAAGTACATGCCATGCCCATCAGCAATGGGTTAAAATACATACATTAACTCTAGAATAGTGAACATTATTTCTGCATTGAAAATAGAATAGGTATATCACATTCTTGCAATATCCCACAGGAGGGTCAAGCTACATGAAAGTTGCTCGTGAGTACAACATCCCTAAATCAGTGCTTTGGAGACGATGTCAGAGAGAGGGTGTGCTGAGAGGAGAAGCCCGTCGCTGCTACAACTATTCCCCAGACGACATAGACCAAGCAAGGCAAATGCTGCTTGGTGGACGGCCACTCTCCACCATTGTCAAAGATACAAAGGTACTTTTCTAGGGTACTGTATGTGTTAGAATAAGGATTATGAACTTCTTTTGTAGCATGTCATAATACTAATTGTAGTTATTATTTAGCCGTTGTTGTGTAATACAGTGGTCTGCAGTTGGTGGGCCATGGCAAAATTCATGGTTGGCTTGGCTACATTAGCTCCAACATTTTTAGCTTTTATTCATTGATGAATTTTATACAGATAAAAGGTTTATGTTGACAAAAGAGGGAGAGAGAAGGACAGTGCAGTAGGGCATGATCTCAAAAGTGTCAAAAATTGCCTGCATAGTATCTTATGATTATGATTCTTGATAGCAGAGAGTTTATAGTTTATAGTTTAAAGTGCTGTACTAGTCATAAAAAGGTCATTTCTTGGTACATCAGTAATATCGCTTAGTTTATAGTTTAAAGTGCTGTACTAGTCATAAAAAGGTCATTTCTTGGTACATCAGTAATATCGCTCCTACTTGAAATCAATAATGTCTAGTATTAGATATTTATATAAAAAAGTTCTATACTATTTTTAATACAAAGGTGATTGCACATTCTGAGATTGTGCTAATAGATCAGTAAAATCTATTACCCACATTCTTTTAATACAGAATTTAGGAGACAGTACACAGAACAACAGGTTATTATTGTGTCTCATTGCAAGTGATATATTGGTTAATAATCAACTATAATAAATCCACAATTGAGTGTTTGGGAATCTTTAAAAACACATATGCCATTTCAATCTTTCCAGAGTATCCAAAATTGGAAATTGATTTTCAAAACTTCAGGAAGACAAATATTGGCCATTGATATTTCAAGGGCTTAATTTGATATCCCAGAAAATTTATATTTCATATATGTACAGCACAGTAAAGAATCCAGTACTGTATTTGCTGGCACAAATGAGACAACTGCCTATAAGAAATAATATTGTTTTTGAAAGACTGTTTTTAGTACATTGCATCATAAATATATTGATATGATAGTTTCAGTAAATCTTTGAACAAGGCAAGAGGCATAAAGAAGCCTGTAAATTTGAGGGAAATTTTAGTATCTTGCTCTTACATGAGCAAAAGCAAATTTTAGTATTTCATTAGTGATTACAGTGCAAAGAACAGGAAATAAAAAGCTGTTAATATAAATAGGCACAGGCAGAGGAGGGGATCCTAGAGGAAATTCCAAGAGAATTGGATGATTTGTGTGGCTGAAGTAGATGTACTAAATAGTGCCAGATTTACTATTTTGCACTCATGACATCTCACTCACAAGCTATAAGAAGTGAAAAAATTGGCTTTAACCCATTCGCAACAGGGAAAATGAACAAAAAATGGGGAAAATGTGTTCATTTTTTATATTTTTTGTGAAATGTCTCTACACATAGATGGCTCTGCCATACCTGATTTCACCTTTCCTTGAATTGGCGGGAAATTGTATTTTTTTACTAGTGGTATGAATATCAAATGTGTTGTTTTTATTATAAACATTATAATTACTATAATGTTATAAACAATAGTAATAGCAAAATAAGATAACATAAAATATTTTTGTAAATTAAAGAAAGGGGTAAACGGGCAAGACAGGCAGTACTCGTAATTGGCTCATTGGTGACTTAGTACAAGTGTAGCCATCTATGTGTAAAAACAATTATACAAGTGAACTCACAGTGGGAATGGTACTAATACTTGACATGCCCGTCATGGGTTAAATCTTTGGAGCCATAAGTTAGAAAGGTAGTGGGGACTGGAGGATAGGCATAGTTGGACAAAGCATGCTAGATATTACCAGATTTATTAGTAAAGCCCCCTATCACACTAGCATTTTCTGCCTCAGTTTTTGCATTTCAGTACAAACTTTCTATTTGCAAATGGTGCTGTGCTATCAGGAGTAACACAACTATCCTTATCCTGTTAAATCAGTATTGTTATGTAAAGATGACTGTATTGTAATAAGAAGTATTCTGAGATGATAGTTATAGTATAGATCCTCTGTAGTACAAGATGAAGACAAGAATTAGTCAATAAAATATACATACTACTGACTTGATTTATCAAGCATACCCAGACATGCAAGTCTGTGTGGTATGCATGTTGAAACAAAAATTGACAGAAAAAGTGCTTGTGAGATATGGCCATTACATATGTTGCATCCCCTTCACATCAAAATAAAATAAAAACCCTACGAAGTTTAACAACTTCCTTACAATCAACAGGTACTTGTAAATTAAATATATGATTAGTTATTAGCTACAGAACATCAGGAATGAAATAATTACCTTGCAGGTGATTTGAAATTTGTATGCCCGTCATTCCCTGACAACAACTAACATTATTTTTAGTAAAGGTACTACAAAATGTATTTTAACCCATTGCCGCCGGGGATGGCATGTACATACATGCCATGACCATTGTGAGTCGACTTGTTTGATTGTTTTTACACATAGATGGCTACACTTGTACTAAGTATCCAATGAGCCAATTATGAGTACTGCCTGTCTCGCCCATTCACCCTTTTCATCAACTTACGAAAATATTTAACGTTATCCTAATTTGCTGTTAAAAATAACACCATCTATATTTATAGCACTAGTAAGAATACGTTTTTTCTCGCCAATTTAAGGAAAGGTGAAATCAGGACAAGCAGAGCCATCTATGGACAGAGATATTTCACAAAAATAAAAAAAATGAGTACTGCATTTCCCCCATTTTTTGTTCATTTTCCCCAGCGGCAATGGGTTAATTCTGTTTCCAAAAACTATCCCTGCACATCTTAGAGGCAGTTTATAAGCTGGTTAATACATAATGTATTATAACTTGATGTTTATTTTCTTTCAGTGAAATAGCATTTTGTGAAGAAATAGTTTCCGTTACCTCTTTTAATGATATAGTCTTAACACTGTAATCTGTATTATTTATTTGTGCTGGCTACATCTGCTGTCCACTGTAGTTTGTTTTGTTAGTTTTGCTTATACATAGATGGCTCCACACATGCTTCGTCACCAAGGACTCAGATTCTAGAGCTACTTGACTTGAATTGTTTATCCCTTTCCTTTGTTTTTCTTTCTTTCTTTCTCTCTTTCTTTCTTTGTTATTAACCCAATGACAGCAGGTTTTCTCTATACCAAAATGACATCCTTGCAATCAGCTGCTTTGAGTGAAAATGAGATGCATAGGCACATACATGTATTCCATATTTACCTTAAAGAGACTTTAGAATAGACTATACTATAGTTTATACTGCCAGGGGTATGTCTTTATGCAGAGCTATCCACCTTGGTGACTAAACACTTCTGGAGTCATCTATGAGGAAACAAATTTCACAGTGGACAGGGCATCGTTGGCTAAATGACTTGATCTCATGTCATATAATTTATAAATCACTCTTTCATTACAAAATTTCTAATTCAATATTTCCTTCTAGATTCCAAAGACAACTTTGTTTCGCATCAAAGAACAACTAGTAAGAGAGGGAAAGATGCCAGCTTCGTGTATCAACCGTTCCATCCGTCCTCGAAGACCCTCAGAAAATTCCCTGCAACAAGCCATCACAGCATGCAAGGAAGAAGGCATGTCTCAGGGCAGAGCATCTGAAAAATTTCAAGTAAGTACCATACTAGTGACATAAGGTATTGGTTTGGCAAAAATTGAAACTAAAAATTAATTATCGTACAAAAGCTCTAAGCAGAAAAAAGGAAAAGAGTAACAAGTGGCACACTACTTTCCTCTACACCCATCTCAGCTATACAGAAGAAATTTATATGAGTGATAAAAAAAAAAAAAAAAAAAAATCTTTGGATCTGGGGTCCTCATAGCTCACCTATGAACCAAAACCCAGGCATTAATCTTAGTGTGATTGGCAATTCTTCAGGTTGTGTGGCTTGTTAGCCCAATTTTACACAGTAAAGTAGATTGCTTGCTTCCTCTTTGCAGTGCTATTAGCTCTTATTATGTATACACATTTTCAGCTGTTTAGCAACAGCCCCATTTTTTTATTATTATTATTATTAGTAGTAGTAGTAGTATTGTTATTATTATTGTTATTATTATTACCAGACTCCATATTGACTCCCCAGGTAGTGTAAACATTAAATAACAAAGTGAAATTCATGTTGTTTCTCTGTTTTTTCATAATATTAAAGTTTCCATAACACACCTTGTACTGCAGGTCAAGACAGGATTAGGATTCTGCATAAGGAAATAATTTCTTCCCTAAAGCTACTGCTCTTGCAGGCATGGCTCATTGATGGTACATTTCATCTTCACTTACTGGTGGAAATAATGCAAGAGCCCTTTCTAAAAGGCCCACTTAGACTAATCTCCCTCCAGGAACTTTGTGGACTCACAGTGAGATATTCTCATCTCCTGTCAGTTAGCAACAATATCTTGTGATGAGACTTTCTCATCACCCTGGCACTCAGCCAAATGTTTCCCTGTCACTTGTTACTCAGCAACAGTATTTTCCAATATTGACACATTCCTGTCACCTGCCCTTCCTCGTCACCCAGATCTAGTCAGTTGAAATGAGTTTTCAGTTAGTTAGTTATTATCAGGTGGAGCAGTTTGTACCACTATTGTGATGAAATATTTTTTTCTTTATTATTTCTCTACTTTATTTATATGTTCATTTGTATGCTATTACAAACCATTTAACCCAATGCTGCCAGGGAAAATGAACAATAAATGGGGAAAATGCTGTGCCCACTTTCTATGTTTTTTGTGAAATGTCCGCATTGGGTTAAGATGGGAAAAATCATCTTTATTAATTCATAAAAGCATCCGTACTTTCAAGAATTGTGCAGCGGAAAAAAATATATTGTGAACCTATTATCTGAGAAATTATTATTTTATTTGTTTTTGTTAGGGGTGGTGTATATGATAATGATACCCATTGGATTTAAAATGGGAAAATTGAAATTATAGTATTTATGATATGTTGTCACATTGTCAAACATATTATTCTAAGAGAATCACACCAGTAGAAAGTAAAACTCAGTAAGTATTCTGCCCCATTGTGAATTGTTTAAGAACACAAAAAAAAAACAATTTAACCCATTGGATCTAGGTGCCTAGGTGCCCAAAATCCAGGCATTACTTGAAAGGTGACTCTCCCAGGTGAGTTGCTTGTAAACCCACTACACACAAACACTTGTGTGTAGTGTCAAGACTCCTTGCCATCCTATTGCAATGTTACTTTTGCCACCTTCCAAGGTCAATATTTGTTATTTCATATGCCATATCAAGATGGTAATAGACTGTTTACCTTATGCAGACTCCAAAGCATATATACAAAAACAATAAGTAACATTTTCTTCTTTGTGTAGTTTTTAAATATTTATGCAAAAGGATCCTGAGCCTGAAAATAGTGTCCTCCCTGGGGCTGACAGCCATAGCTAGCAGAAGGTACATTCCACAGTCATTTACAATGAAAATAATGCAAGAGCCCCTTCTAAAAGCCCCACATAGGCTAATCTCCCTCCAGGAACTTTGTGGACTCACAGTGAGATATCCTCATCTCCTGTCAGTCAGCAACAATATCTTGTGATGAGACATTCTCATCACCCTGGCCCTCAGCCAAATGTTTCCCTGTCACTTGTTACTCAGCAACAGTATTTTCCAATATTGACACATTCCTGTCACCTGCCCTTCCTCGTCACCCAGATCTAGTCAGTTGAAATGAGTTTTCAGTTAGTTATTTATTATCAGGTGGAGCAGTTTGTACCACTATTGTGATGAAATATTTTTTTCTTTATTATTTCTCTACTTTATTTATATGTTCATATGTATGCTATTACAAACCATTTAACCCAATGCCGCCAGGGAAAATGAATAAAAAATGGGGAAAATGCTGTGCCCACTTTCTATGTTTTTTGTGAAATGTCCGCATTGGGTTAAGATGGGAAAAATCATCTTAATTAATTCATAAAGCATCCGTACTTTCAAGAATTGTGCAGCGGAAAAAAATATATTGTGAACCTATTATCTGAGAAATTATTATTTTATTTGTTTTTGTTAGGGGTGGTGTATATGATAATGATACCCATTGGATTTAAAATGGGAAAATTGAAATTATAGTATTTATGATATGTTGTCACATTGTCAAACATATTATTCTAAGAGAATCACACCAGTAGAAAGTAAAACTCAGTAAGTATTCTGCCCCATTGTGAATTGTTTAAGAACACAAAAAAAAATAATTTAACCCATTGGATCTAGGTGCCTAGGTGCCCAAAATCCAGGCATTACTTGAAAGGTGACTCTCCCAGGTGAGTTGCTTGTGTGTAGTGTCAAGACTCCTTGCCATCCTATTGCAATGTTACTTTTGCCACCTTCCAAGGTCAATATTTGTTATTTCATATGCCATATCAAGATGGTAATAAACTGTTTACCTTATGCAGACTCTGAAGCATATATACAAAAACAATAAGTAACATTTTCTTCTTTGTGTAGTTTTTAAATATTTAAGGAAAAGGATCCTGAGCCTGAAAATAGTGTCCTCCCTGGGGCTGACAGCCATAGCTAGCAGAAGGTACATTCCACAGTCATTTACCAGTGAAAATAATGCAAGATCCCACTGAGTCTAATCACCTCCATGAGCTTTGTGTACTTGTGTCATTTCCATCACCCCAGCCTTCAGCCCAAATTCTTAAGATGGCATATTCCCATCACCTGGGCCTTAGGCAAATTTTTTCATGATAGCATATTGACGTCAGCTGGCCCTCAGCCATTTTTTTGCATGTTGGTTAGTTTACCTGGATCCAAAGAGTTAATTTTAATGCTTGTACAAAATTATGTCATTATCAATTAAGCATAATATTAGCATGTTTGATGTTGCCCAATTTCAGATGTCTCTTTAATATTACTGCATTTTATGATTGCAAAGTATGTTAGGGAAGGAAAGAGAATATTTTCCTGGTGAAATTTTCATGAATACTAGAATACTTCATTGGATCTGGATACTTCACTGCCATCAATGGCCCAAGGCATTAGTAAACTGCTTGAAGGCTGGGTGTACACAGACACTCGTGTTCAGTGACATTACTCTTTCCCACTTCCTTGCAATGTTATATTCATATTTGTCATTTAAATTGCTCTATCTTCATGTTGATAGACTGTTTTCCTTGCACAGACTATATCATCTCTCTAGGTAGTCCATAAGTCAACACAGTTTTGTTATTTGTGTAAATTTAAACATTTTTTCGTAATATTCAATTTTCTGTAATACAACTTGTGCTGTAGGTCACTACAGTCAGGAATAGAATAATGAACATGGAAATAGTCTTCTCCCTAGAGAGAGCACTCTTCCAGTCATGGCTCACAGACACTACAGTCCCCACTCATTTATCAATGGAAATATCGGAAAAGCCTTTTCCTAAATGCCAGATGAATCTAATCACCCTCCAAGAGGTTTGTGCATTCATGGCGAGTTTCAGATCATCCTTGCCCACAGCCAGATTTTTCCTTGGCAGCATGTTCATGTCACCCACCCATCAAGCCAGATTTTTTTATGACATGATCTTCATGTCAACCAGATCTTGCACAAATATTTTTTTTTACTTTATTTTATAACCATAATTACCATTCTGTTTTTTTTTAATTAATGTTGTGTCTTGTTATTTTTCAGGTCTCAAAGACAACAGTGTGGCGCCGTTTGAAGAGAATGAAGCACCTAGACCCAGACCAAAGAAATAATGAGAATGAGATAGACAGACAGAATGTAAAGATTGAGGTTGTTGATAATATCACAGGCGATCATCTCCCCGATACTTATGATGAAGGAATCACAATGAGATATGCTGAAGATGGAGACTTACGTTATGTTGACACCATAGACGGGCAGAACTCTGAGGAAAGAACACTTGATTGTGCGACTGTGAGTGCTAAATATGGAAACTTGAGTGGTACTGAAAAATTGCTTCAAAATAAAGATGCTGGTCAGTCAAAGATGGGGACAGAAAAGCACGTTTCTTATGAAGTTGTACCTGAATCTTCTATAGTACAAAGTGAGGGCCAGAATATTGTTATAGCCAGTTCCCAGTCTTCCTTTATTGACAGTAAACATCTTGGGATATTTACAAGTGAGGGACACATGATTCCTACTGGAGAGCAATTAACTATTACCCAAGATAATAAGGTGGTTCCAGCAACAGAAGGATCAAGAGAAAATGCAGGGAATACCCAGTTTGAATTAGAAATGCCTTTGGTAAGTGTTATTGTTATTGCTTAGTCTTGATCACAGCTGTCTCATACAGTATTATTTAGATCTTTCCAATGGGATCAGTTTACTTTGACTTCTCTCTAGACACGCCTGCATTTCCAATCATTTGAAATTAGTATATCCTTTCAAAATAGTAGTACATTTCTGAATGCTTCTAAGTATTATACCAGATTTTTTTCATTTATTTTATTTTCTCTCCAAAGTTTCTTTGTAAAACTTTTTAATATACTAGTATTCTGTTAAAGGGAATTTTTTATGATATAGTTGAGAAATGATAAAAAAAATGGTTATTCAAGTGCTTGTGGGGAACTCATACTATTAACCTAATGCCGATGGGCATGACGTGTACGTACATGCTATGCCCGCTATGAGTACTTGTTTGATTGTTTTTACACATAGATGGCTACACTTGTGCTAAGTCACCAATGAGCCAGTTACAAGTACTGCCTGTCTCCCATTTACCATTTTCTTTGATTTACGAAAATAATTTACATTATCTCATTTTGCTGTTACAAATGTTTATAACATTATAGTAATTATAATGTTTATAATAAAAATAACACCATCGATATTCATAGCACAAGTAAAAATTATGTTTTATCCCGCCAATTCAAATTACGTAAGGTCACGAGTTCTACTAATTGACTCCTTTGTGGCTAAGCACTAGCATATGCTTGAGATAAAGCACCTGGATCCAACAATTTAAATTGTGATAAGGATAATTATCTATAGTTCAATCTCCTTCAGTTTTGAAGGTTTTGAGTGGCATATCAGGTGTTAGTTTTGCCTTGCTCTATATTGTCCAGGACAGGACATTAACCCAATGCCAACGGGTATGATGCGTACGTACATGCTATGCCCACTGTGAGTTACTTGTTTGATTGTTTTTCACATAGATGGCAACACTTGTACTAAGTCACCAATGAGCCAGTTATGAGTACTGTCCGTCTCGCCTGTTTACCCTTTTCTTTGATTTACAAAATATTTTCCGTTATCTTATTTTGCTGTTACTAATGTTAAAAAACATTATGATAATTATAATGTTTATAATAAAAATAACACCATCGATATTCATAGCACTAGTGAAAAACACGTTTTTCCCGCCATTTCAAATCAGGCGCTAGCAGAGCCATCTATGGGCAGACATTTCACAAAATATAGAAAATAGGCACAGCATTCTCCCCAGCGGCATTGGGTTAAAAGTCACCCTGGTCTCTGCAGAAGGCATTTATCAGTGCAACAGGTAGTTCCTGGCAGAAGCAGAATATGTCTGGTGGAAGTTTAGTGATGCTGAACAAACAACAGAGATAGCATCTAGGTTGGAACAGTGAGCAAATAGAAGACTTGAGGGCCTTTACTTTGCTTACGTGATAATTCTTGACCACATCCCAAATATTGATTGTTCAGGGTGCCACAGCTGATCAACCCAATGATCATTGTATTTTATGAATGAATGATGAATACTTTCCTGTATTTTCTTGAGGAGTAGATGGGATTATTTTTAGAAAACATGAGAGATTTGTTTTCTAAAAACATGATGTGATAGAGCAAAATTAGCAGGCACAAGTTGGACAGAATAAGTCATCCCTCACTTTTTTTTTCAAATTTTCCTTGTTGATTATCCTCCTTATCATTTTGATTATTTTTACTTTTTTTTTTTTTCTTTTCTTTTCTTTTGTAGTACTTTACTTTTTTTCTTTCTCTTTTTTCTGTGTGTGTGTGTGTGTGTGCACGTGTGTGTGTGTGTGTGTGTGTGTGTGTGTGTGTGTGTGTGTGTGTGTGTGTTTTAGAATACTTGTTTTGAGTATGCTTATATTCAGGAAATATTGCCATGAGAAGAAGTAATGATATTTTTTTTCTCTCTTACACAGATGAATCTCCCGGGTGGAGGATACCAGGTTGTTGGGAGTGAGATTGTTATAGGGGGCCAGCAGATGGTTGTCTTGGAGCCGTCTGGATCTAATCCTCATCACCCAACGAACAGTGACCACCATCTGGTTGTTGCTTCATTCAGTCAGATGGTAATGATGATAATCCTCACTTGTCTTACACTTGAAATATGCTACTCTTTAAAACTTTTTCATTATTTGTTATCACTATAAGTATGCCATATATCATTACAGGTATGTATTCCTTATTGTAAATATTTAAAAACTCTTCCAGGATGGCTTGGACGAACTGTCAAAGGTCGAGAGGACAGTTAGTGTTGAAAACCTCGAAACGGAGAACCAGCAAGTTGAAGATATGAAGCAAGACGGCTCAAGATCACAACAAAACTCCGACTAGTGATATTCATTCCTAAGTTGTGAGTTGAAATAGAATGTATGCAAAGGTCTACAAATAGGCTCTTTGTGTTTCATATGATAACTGTATTGAGGTACTTTTTATGAGAAGAAAATTCATATTATTATTATTATTATTGTTATTATTTTTTATTTTTTTTTTTTCAGCATTAATTATTAGTAGTATTGTTATTGCTGTTATCATTATTATGAAAATAATATTATGATTATTAGTTTTGTTATTGTTTATGTTGTTATTATATTATTATTATTATTATTATTATTATTATTATTATTATTATTATTGCTATTGCTATTATTGTTATTATCACTAGCATAATTGTTTATGGTCATCCTAATTATTTTTATTGTTCCTAGTGCAGATCCAAAACAGCAAAGAAAAGGCTTTTGTGATAAGATGTAAACACAATATATTCACTGAAGTATTCTCACTACTTTGCTAAAAATGGATTAGGAATTCGCTGATAAGAAATAGCTCTTTTCTTTGGGAGTTTATAATGATAAAAGTGTTTGGTGCAGAGAATGAAAATAAAAAGAGAGTAATATTAAAGACCACCTCCTTCATGTATACTGTATTTTTCTTTCAAATTGTGCATGTGTTTTCCTAAATGATGCGAAAGTTGTAACATCAGTCATGTATATTTTATAAGTAGCTCCATATTGGAGAATTTTTTGTAAATAGGTAGGTCAAAGTATCACAGAGCCTTTTTCCCCACATAAAAAATATTGTTTTATTACATGTCATTAAATTAAATATACCTGTGTATTCACCTTGCTGACCTTTTTTAACCTGAGGGTCAAACCAGTGAGTTATGCCATACTTGCCAAATTGTTTTGGTATTATTCCTTGATATGCAATAGTTCCTACCTTATTTTTATGTAAAATTAGTTTTAATTCTAGCTGTTGTGTTAACTGCAGTACTGAGTGTAAAGTGTGCCTTTGTCAATCAGTTTTTCAATAACTCATTTTTTATTTGTAATAGTATTATCTTTATCACATGGAAAATACAGTTCACTCTGTGATATATTGAGTAGGGTATATTTGACTTTAAAAAGACATACATGGTACTACTGATGCAAATACTGCTTACCTT